GGGCGGGGGGGGCAGCTGGAGACGGGGGGGGCGGGAGCCGACCTCCTCAGCGTCAGCAGGCAGCTCAAGAGGCTGCAGGTGGGTGTTGGGGGGGACACCAGGTTATGGGGGGACACCAGGTTATGGGGGGACACCAGGTTATGGGGGGACACCAGGTTATGGGGGGACACCAGGTTATGGGGGGACACCAGGTTATGGGGGGACACCAGGTTATGGGGGGACACCAGGTTATGGGGGGACACCAGGTTTGGGGGGACGTCGGGTGTTGGGGGGACACCAGGTTATGGGGGGACACCAGGTTATGGGGGACATCGGGTGTTGGGGAGACACCAGTTGACCCCAGTGCTGGGCACTGGTTGTCCCCAGGGCTGAGGACCAGTTACAACAGGGGCTCAGCACCAGTTGCAATGGGGATTGGCACCAGTTGCTCCCCAGTCTCAACACCAGTTGCCCCAGGGCTCAGCACTGGTTGCAATGGGGGCTCAGCACCAGTAACCCTTCAGGCTCAGCACCAGTTACAATAGGGGTTCAGCACCAGTTGCCCCCAGAGCCTGGCACCAGTTGCCTGTGGGACTTGGCACCAGTTGCCCCCAGGGCTTGGGCCCAGTTGCCCCCAGGCTCAGCACCAGTAGCCTCCAGAGCTGGGCACTGGTTGTCTCCAGGGCTGAGGACCAGTTGCAATGGGAGTTCAGCCCCAGTTCCCCCAGCCTTTGGCCCCAGTTCCCCCAGTGTCTCATCCCAGTGTCCCTCTGCTCCCCGCAGACGATGGAGTCGCAGGTGGAGGAGTGGTACAAGGAGGTGGGGGAGCTGCAGGTGCAGGCAGCGGCGCTGCCCGCGCAGGCAGCGGGCAGGCAGGCGGTGGGGGAGCGGCAGAACGCGGTGGGGACCCGCATCGTCCGCCTGATCGAGCCCCTCAAGGAACGTCGGCGAATCCTCTTGGCTTCCAAGGAGGTTCATCAGGTCAGCCATGAGCTGGAGGACGAGGTGGTGAGTACGTGGGGATGGGATGGGCTTGGGATCAGGATGGGGTTGGGATGGGATGGGCTTGGGCTTGGGATGGGATGGGCTTGGGCTTGGGATCAGGATGGGCTTGGGATCAGGATGGGGTTGGGATGGGATGGGATTGGGGTTGGGGTTGGGGTTGGGATGGGATTGGGATGGAGTTGGGATGGGGATGGGATGATGGGATGAAGATGGGATAGGATGATGGAATGGGGATGGGATAGCCTTGGGATCAGGATGGGGTTGGGATGGGATTGGGATGAGGATGGGGTTGGGATGGGATGGGGTTGAGGTTGGGATGGAATTGGGGATGGGATGGGATGATGGGATGGGGATGGGATGATGGGATGATGGGATGAGGATGGAATGATGGGATGATGATGGGATAGGATGATGGAATGGGGATGGGATGGGCTTGGGATCAGGATGGGGTTGGGATGGGATGGGGTTGGGATGGGGTTGAGGTTGGGATGGGATTGGGGATAGAGTTGGGAGGGGGATGGGATGATGGGTTGGGGATGGGATTGGGATGGGGATGGGATGGGGATGGGGATGGGATGGGATGATGGGATGGGGATGGGGATGGGATAGGATGATGGACTGGGGATGGGATGGGATTGGGATAGGATGGGGACAGGATCAGGGACAGAGATGACGCCCAGGTCCATCCCACCACCCTCTCGCCCAGCTGTGGGTGCAGGACCGCCTGCCCTTGGCCACGCTGAAGGACCACGGCACCAACCTGCAGACGGTCCAGCAGTTCATCAAGAAGAACCAGGTCAGCCCCTGCGCCGGGGAAACCGAGGCGGGGGGACACCGGTGACCCCCAACCCCTCTCCCCCACTCCCCCAAATCCTCTCCACCCCCTCCCCAGAACCTCCGCCGGGAGATCCAGGTCCACCGTCCTCGCGTGGACGAGGTGCTGGAACGCGCCGGAGCCGTTGCCTCCATCAAAAGCCCCGAAGCTGAAGGGGTCCGACGTCTTCTGGAGCGGTTGGGGACGATGTGGGAGGAGCTACAGGAGCAGGCAGAGCGCAGGCAGCAAAGTTTGGATGCCACCTACCAGCTGGAGCAATATTACTTCGACGTGGCCGAGGTGGAGTCGTGGTTGGGCGAGCAAGAGCTGCTGTTGATGAGCGAGGAGAAGGGGAAGGTGCTGACGGGGTGGGTTGAGGGGGGAGAAGTTAAGGACCACCCCCCAGCATCTCACCCCCCCAAAAAACGTGTCCCCCCTCCCCAAGGATGAGCAGAGCACCCTACAACTCCTCAAGAAACACCTCCTGACGGAGCAAACGGTGGAGAACTACGAGGAGACCATCGCCCAACTCTCCCGCCAATGCCGTGCCCTTCTAGAGCTTGGCCACCCTCAAAGGTGGGTGCAACCCCTCCATCGCCCACCCCTCCCTGAACCCCCCGACCCCAAAATACCGGGGTCTTTGGCGTTCACCGGGCGCTGTGTCCCTTGCCCAGCGAACAGGTCAGCAGGCGGCAGTCGCAGGTTGACCGGCTGTACGTGTCTCTGAAGGACTTGGTGGAGGAACGCAAGGCCAAGTTGGAGCAGCAATATTGGCTCTACCAGCTCAACCGCGAGGTGGACGAGCTGGAGCATTGGATCGCCGAAAAGGAGGTGGTGGCCGGCTCACCGGAGCTGGGACAGGACTTCGAACACGTCACGGTCAGTTGGGGGACGCGCCAAGTTGGGGGTCTTGGTGTTTTCCATGGCCTGGAGGTCCTGGAGTTGTCCCCATCCTGTGCTGGGGGTCCTGGGGAAGTCCCTGCCGTGGGTGAGAGGGGTCTTGGTGCCCTCCCTGCCCCGTGCCGGGGGTCCTACCTCCATCCTGGTCCTGGGCACCATCCCTGCCCCATGCCGGGGTCCTGGCACCATCCTGGTCCTGGGCACCATCCCTGCCCCATGCCGGGGGTCCTGGGCACCGTTTCTGCCCCATGCTGGGGGTCCTGCCCCCACCCCTGCCCAGCGCTGCCCACCCCTCACCCTTGCCTATCCCTGCCCATCCCAGCTACTCCAGGAGAAATTCCTGGAGTTCGCCAGCGAGACGGGCAGCGTCGGGCAGGAACGGATCGCCGCCGTCAACCAAATGGTGGACGAACTGATCGACTACGGGCACGCCGACGCCGCCACCATCGCCGAATGGAAGGACGGGGTGAACGAAGCTTGGGCAGACCTTCTGGAGCTGATGGAGACCCGGGCCCAGATGTTGGCGGCTTCCCACGAATTGCACAAGTTCTTCAACGATTGCAAAGAGGTTTTGGGGCAAATCGAGGAGAAAAGGCAACGCCTGCCTGAACTGGCAGCCCGTGAGGGCAGGACGTCGGCCGGCGCCTTGCAACGGGCGTTGGGTGCCTTCGAGCACGACGTGGAGGTGTTGGTGACCCAAGTCCGGCAGCTCCAAGAGGGTGCGGCACAGCTGAGGACCCTCTATGCCGGGGACAACGCCGAGGCCATCGCCGGGAGGGAGCAGGAGGTGCTACGGGCGTGGAAGGAGCTCTTGGCGGCGTGTGAGGAGTGCCGGCTCCATGTCGCCAGCGTCGCCGATAAGATCCGCTTCGTCGGCACCGTGAGAGACCTTCTCGCCTGGATGGACGGCGTCCTCTGCCAGATCGGCGCCGGAGAGAAGCCCAGGTAGCAGGAGCTGTGGGCTGCGCTGAGGTCCTGCGTCCTGCGCTGGCCCCAAGAACCATGTCCTGGCCCATCCGTGGTGCCGAGGACCCGCATCCTGGCCCATCCCGAGGACCCATGTCCCATCCCATCCATGAAGCCAAGGAATTGTGTCCAGTTCCATCTGGAGGATCCATGTCCTGTCCTGTCCCGAGGACCTCTGTCCCGTCCCATCCATAGCACCAAGGACCCGTGTCCTGTCTGATCCTGAGGACCCATGTTATGTCCACCCATGGAGCCAAGGATCCATGTCCTGGCCCATCCCAAGGACCCACCTCTTGTCCCATCCATGAAGCCAAGGACCCGTGTCCTGTCCCATGCCAAGGACCCGTGTCCTGTCCCATCTGGAGGACCCATGTCCAGTCCCATCCCAAGGACCCATGTCTTGTCCCATCCATGGAGCCAAGGACCCGTGTCCTGTCCAATCTGGAGGACCCGTGTCCCATCCCATCCTGAGGACCCGTGTCCTGTCCCATCCATGGAGCCAAGGACCTGTGTCCTGTCCCATGCCAAGGATCCATGTCCTGTCCCATCCATGGAGCCAAGGATCCATGTCCTGTCCCATCCCGAGGACCCACGTCTTGTCCCATCCATGGAGCCAAGGACCCGTGTCCCATCCCGAGGACCCACGTCTTGTCCCATCCATGAAGCCAAGGACCCGTGTCCTGTCCCATCTGGAGGACCCATGTCCTGTCCCATCCCAAGGATCCATGTCCTGTCCCATCCATGGAGCCAAGGATCCATGTCCTGTCCCATCCCGAGGACCCACCTCTTGTCCCATCCATGAAGCCAAGGACCCGTGTCCTGTCCCATGCCAAGGACCCGTGTCCTGTCCCATCTGGAGGACCCATGTCCAGTCCCATCCCAAGGACCCATGTCTTGTCCCATCCATGGAGCCAAGGACCCGTGTCCTGTCCAATCTGGAGGACCCGTGTCCCCTCCCA